GGCACATTTAAATCTTACAAATATAGTTATTTGGCTTATATCGTGATAGATATCGTTATCGCCTGAAATGAAAAAACAAACAAAAAACATATCGTGATATGAAAAAATCTCATATCGCCCAGCTCTACGATTACCTCAACTCAACATACAATAATAAGGTATGTGTTGGTACTGGGTACCAATCCAGGAACAGTGTTTATTTAATACACTGTATTTGAGTAACGAAAAATACTTATCAGGCTTGATTTAAAACATTGCTTTACTAATTCTGTTTGCAATCCAAGACAATTTAAAAAACAAAGGGAGTACTACAATAGCTGTAAGGGCTTATCCAACAGGTGCTCTTAAGTAGGGCAGATGCAAAGTCAGGCTACGTCCACACTAATGTGTTTTGAAAACGCATCGTTTTCTCTCCGCTTTGACCTCCCGTCCACACCGAGACGGCGTTTTCCTCAAGAAAAAAAACGCAGCATTTTGAAAATGCTCTTGAAAACACATACATTTCAAAACGGAGCTGTCCCGTCGCAGTGTGGACACTTGAAAACGACTTTCTAAAACAATGATGCATTTTAGTCATGTGATGCAGTCATGTGAGCAATTAAACAAAGATAGCCGAGTGCATTATACAGCAGTTGTTTTGATTACTCTCAACTTTGAAAAGATTAATATCAGTTTGTACATGCTCCGGATAGCTTTTCTTCAAATTCTTTAGTTCTCACTTGCTTTTGCGTGAAAATGACTGAAAATGCTAGTGTGGACGCCGTTTTCAAATCTATCCGGGCTAGTGTGGACGTAGCCTAATGCGTTTTCATTTGTCATGATAGTTTCTCCTTATCTGGCATCGCTTCACACACAGGTAGTGTGCACAGCTGATAAAAGACGGGGTGAAGTGAAACACGCAAAAGAAAAACTGTTGGTGAGGAACTCAAGTGCCTGGAATCCTACCTATTACTTTCACTACTTTTAAAAGTAAAAAACGTCCACATAGAGAGGCTAACAATATAAGCAAAACAGCAAGTAAGTGTAAGTGAGTGTGTAAGCAGCAGCTAGGGAGTGCTGCTCATTTTGAAGGACAACGCCGTGACTTAAATTAGGCTTTAATTTAACAGGCCAGCATGAGTAAGTGTGCTCTTGCTCTGCCCTGTTGCCAATCCACTGGGGGTTTGAACAGAGGGAACAGTTTGTTCAAACCAACAGCAGAATCCAAGTACATCCATTGCAGCATCTTCCAGACATGTTTAAACCAAATTAGGCTAAGAAAACAAAACAATCTTTTAATCAGAGTCAAGAGGTACTTTTATCGGAGTAATCCAGGAGGAGGAGAGGGCTCTGGCTCTGCAGACTGGCTTACAAACAAATACTTCTACAGGTAATATGTGGGATCAGATCCACTACGTTGAACCCATTAAGTTGAAAATTTAATGCCTTCATTTTTATTCCAATCCCACTTCTTCTTTTCAGAATATGAACTGCCTGCAACATTGACGTACAATACAAGAAACATGTGGTTAATGTCTGTTTGGAGCCCTCTGATCAGGAAGAGTCTGAATTACTCAGCAACAATGCTGCTGTGAGGGTTCAGTTATATAACAAAGCACCCGTGAGTTGTGTATACACACCAACACAAACACACACGCACACTGATCGTTACGTGAAGCATTGATAAAAGGACGCAAAACAAAAGGCCAGGTTATATGACCTTGTAGCTTTCCAATCTGCAAATAGGTTACCGTGTTCTTTGCAATCATTAAAGATTAAGGGGAAAAAAAACCCAAACTCAGTTTGAGAGTTTTTCATTTTACCAACAAATGGGAACACGTCAGTGACCATGATGGAACTCGTCATGAGGAAGTCAGCCAGTTAAGCTCGCTGTAATATGAAACACACCGCGATTCACATTTACTGCTGTGCCTCCCCCCTTCCAGGATTCTGGGTGAAATAGTTTCACAGGAGAACATATTGCTCAACTCGCCCACTTTCCACAGCAGACAGAAACGACTCACTGACAAACAAGCTCTCCAAGTCCCACACTATACCTGCTGCATTTCTCTGACATTTCGTCAATAATAAAAACACGTTTTTGGGTATGATGAATGCGACAGGTATAACTGGGTCCAAGCCACTCTAAAGATAGTATCTGTTGTTGAATCAATCAATTGATGAATCAGCTGACAAACACTGCAGGTATTATGATAACATTTATTATTAAGACATTTTATAACCTACACATGTGGGAGATCCTGAAACTTCACATGCCATAAGCCAAATGACTCCTAGCAAACATCTGGAGGGTTTTACTCCTCTAACATGAAAAAACTTGTTCATTACAGGTTCTAGAAGTGCAATTAAACTGTCACTCGACGGTGACACTAAACAAGGAAGTTTCAAGGAGTTGGCAGCAGTAAATCCTTACTAAAGGACGAACTCAAACAGAAACTGAAAATGTCCAGTATACATCTTTAAAAGACGAACGTGAACGATAAACCAGCGATCTATGCTGATGCTGCTAAAAATCTTCCACTGCAACCCTAATCTTGACAAGAAAGTTGGCTCATCAACAGCACAGTAATAAAGATGCACACTCACCCCTGACAGAGACCCCGCACGTCGGTTTGCGTGCCACCCTTCAGGCCTACAGGTCTTGGGTGTCTTACAACAACTGGAGGGACTCTACAAGTTTAACAGTTTGATCTGAGCTACACCTACAGCTGTGTCAGCGATTTTTATTTTATGCTACAAAGCCAGCAAACGCAATCGAGCCAGAAGTGAAACAAACACAAGTACAGAGTGCAGCGCGTTTCTCGGGCATTTTGGCAACCAGCTCTCCTCGGTGACTCATCGTGAACTCTTCACCGAGCAAATAGTGGAACTGGATGTACCAAAACATGACCCAGAAGTGAAGCCAGACCCTTACATAAACCCTGATGGACTTGGATTTCCGCGCCATTTACCTGACATGAAGAGCACACAAAAAGCCACCGTGTGTCCTCTACGAGGATCATTTCTGAGCTTGCGTTTGTAAAACAAAAATAATCTACAGACCTGGCATGCAAAGGTAGAGGAGAGCAAGAAAAATCGGCTGCAGGTTTCTGGTGGGTTTGCAACGACGGTGAACTCAGAAGGTCTCACGATGAAAGAGCCGTAATCCCCATCAAAACAACAAGTCAAACGTTTCGGAAACAGAGCTGACAGCAAAATAGGCTCCTAATAATAGACAGTAGAGTAACGGCTGTGAGCCGAGCTCGTAACAAACGTGCTAACAAAGCGGTATCAAAATATATTCTTGCTAACCCGCCCGCACAAAATCCAGATATGTCCAAACAACTGACATTAATCAATAATGGCTCCTTAAATTTGGAATAACAGAGAATTACCGTAGTCTAGAACAATTCCTCCATCGCGGTCTGCCGAGCCCCGAGCCACACAGAAAGGAGGGGAAAGCTGTAACTCAGCGTGACTAAGCATTGTACCGGCCTCATCTCGCCTTCACAATAAGAGCTCGCCACCAAAGCGTTGGCCCGCCTCTGTTTATTACTAATGGCAGACAAACGCTCCCCGTGGGAGGGGGCTTTTATTGAGAAGGAATTCTTAAAACGAAGGAAAAGCTGGGCCAAATTTTGGCAGGGAGCCAAAAACTGCAGCATTAACGTCAATCAAAATCTGTTATAAATACCATATAGAGGATAAAACTGCAAAACAGGTACTTATTTTAGCAACTTAAAAAGGGATCTCATTATGAGAAAATAACTAGAATAATGCAGTAACACTGCTTTAAAACTGTATGAGTAATTGTTGAAACCCCAGCAGGAAATTACTAAACTGGCATTGTTTAACGATCACTATGTTGCTCAGACATAATGGTGTGTGCTCTAGAGACATGGTTATAATGTTCCTGCAGTTCTGCTTTAAAACATGAATGACTCCTACATAGCACAGGAGCTTGGGAGGAATCTGTTTGCAGTGCTGACACACCACTAAGGTTTTTTTCCCCTCCTTCCAAAACACGTAATTCAGGTCACAGAATTTGATGTTCTGCCTAAAAGCCAAAAGGTGGCACCAAAAGCTAACTGTGAGACTGCAAGCATAAACATTCACTTTTGAGTTTACTCCTGTGGAACGAGCTGCCATAATATAACCAAGACATTTAAGCCCTGTTGCTCTGCAACCACAGTTCACCACTCATCACATCAAGCAGTCCATGATAACATTCCATCTATACACCTTAACGCTGAAAGGACTGGCAAATCCTAGATATGAAACGACAAGTCATGATTCATACACCACTTAGAGTTCCCCCAAGACTCTGTTGTGTGTCTGCGTAAAGATCCAATCAGAGGAAAAAGCTGAAGTAAGCCTTGAGGCACCAAACTGCTCTTCTAGATGGATGCTTCCTATACACTGATAGTCCAAGTGTTGGTTAAGAGTGCACTCACACTTGGACTATCAGTTCCCCAGCTCTGTAATTTCCCAAATTCTGCTAGAGCAAGGAAAAGTACAGGTTTTTCATTTGTGCCTGTGGCATCAAGGGCCTATCAAGGGTCATAACTTATAACAGCTGAGTTTGTTGCAGCAGAATGGAAGCCAGAGTACAGGAAAGATTCTCTGACTTGTTGACCTCTGCCAGGAGGCACAGTTCTCATGGATAGAGCAAACATCTGGAGGAACACCTGCACTGTACAAATCATATCAGAGTTATTCTAGCACCATCAGGAAGGGCTTATGTCTATAGGCCACAGAAAGTAAAAATCACAAGAACATATCTGCTATCTATCACACTAGGCATGCTTTGCATTGTTGACATTTTTTAACAGTGGCCTGACAAAAAATAACAACAACTGAAAAACAAGTGAAGAACTTAACAGCTTCTTTTAGCTTCATGCAAATCAACCAACAGTCTTTACCAGATTTGCATGTTAGCATTAAAAACCATGTCTTCATAACTGTAACTTTGGCAGTATTATAAGACAAATGTAGACATAAATGCAGGCACTAAACACAGTTTTCTTGCTATAGGAGCTAAATTAGCTGGATACATAACAGCTGTGTAATTTTTCCTTATTTTAACTATAGTCGATGTGAAGGGCCAGTGAGAGTGAGGCGATAGTCATTCTTAATCACTGGTTGACAGGAAAAAAAACAAACAAACAAAACAAAACCTTACTGTTCAGTGTTTATTAAAGGTTACATTGGGTGCACTATTACACTTGGTGTGCTGGGCGTTATTGACAGCTTATTTCTAACAGTGGTGTGACATTTAAAAAAAACCCTGAAAAACCACATACCAACTTCTTTTATTTATAAGTCACTGGTGGTCATGACTTCGAACAGTTGAGTCTGCTGCAGCAAAAATCAAGCTGGAGGACAGGAAAGATTCCCTGACTTGATGACCTCTGCCAGCAGGCACAGTGGATACAGCAAACCCCTGGAAGACGGGTTTATGGTTGACTGCAGAATGCCTTTAGGGCAAAGACAGTTAAAATCACATGAAAAAAATCTGCTGTCTGTCACACTAGACGTGCTTTGCATTATTGACTTTTTTTTTAACAGTGGCCTGACAAAACAACAACAACAACAACAACTGAAAAACCATTTAGCAGCTTCTTTTAGTTTTCTGCAAATCAATCAGTATCTTTCAATTGTAGCTTAACTGGATACATAACATGTAGAGAGATTACACGGCTGTTAACTATGACTGGCAATGTGGAGGCCAGATTAGTGTGAGGTGATAGTAACTCTTAACCACTGGTTAAGAAGTATTTATTTAAAAGAGGCATTGTGTGGAGGTTAAGCCATACTGAGACGGGCTAAAGTTGAAGTATATAGGTCAATGCCATTACCAGATGTGAAATGAGGGAGGCTGACTTCCTGCGATACTTCTTCGCTTAACCACAGCTACACTAACACAGTAATACACACTGATGCACTTAAGAATGCTGCAGGGTACTAACAGTGAAAATAAATTGAAAACCCATTGGAATGTTTTAGAGAAACACTTTATTTCTTTTATGAAAAGAAACACAAATTTTGCTAACGTTTTCTTGTTACAAAATATATATATAATTTACAATAGAGATATATAAAATATGCTCACAAATACATCAAGTTCACTACATACATTTTAGTACAAAAAACCCACAACCTCATTTAATCAATTAAAGTCTTGAATGACGTAAGAAAATAAAAATCATTCAGTACCTTTAACTGAAATGTTCTATTAACTTGATGAACGATGAAAGGAAGCACTGAAACAATTGCTCGGTAAATTTATACCAGATTAGAATGATCTGTAACTTACAAAGGCAGAAATATTTTAATCCATAAAAATTGTGATGCAGCTGAATGAACGTTTTCCTAAGGTTGTCTTCTTCACAAGCTGCAATGTAAAGCCTTGACATGATGCAACTGCAGCTGATTTGGTTTCAGTTGGAGTTAAGCTGTCAGCCAGTGGAAAGTAAACATTACTTGTAACATTATCTTTCAGTTAATCCCATGCTAAGTATGCTGACATTTTGTAAATGCAGCAGTTTTTACTGCAGATGTCAGGCTGACATTTCAAAAAAACTGGACACGACCCCAACAACTTTCCACGTCTACCGCAGATAGGTTAACCATCTGTCATTTCAAAACTGTCAGGGGGTTTTAATTCCGCACCTCCTCTCCCACATACTTTATTTGCATTCAGCATTCAGTAATTTCAAGAAGGGTGCCACCTCTTTCCTGTCAACTTAATTCCTTTGCATCACATACACAGATATGTGTAACCAAACATCTACGCGTGCAAATCTAGCACACGATCAGTCTTCGAACCAGCGAAATCCAGGTGTCTGCAGATTACACACTGTAACTGTTAGGAGTTTTAATTCTGACTTTAAGGCACTTAAGAAACTGCAAGAGGAGAAACGTTAGCCTCCATATTATTCCAGCAAGTACATAGTTTTCAGTCTTTCACTCTTTGAGTTTACAGAAGCATCCTTCTAAGCTTCACACAAAATACAGAAGCCCAGGAAAATAATTGAGTCCAAGGTTGCATATGTCAGTGCAAATTAATAAAGGAGACATATTGCTAGCATCATATACATAAAAACCATTACGTGTTCACATTTGAAATACATCCTTTGCTCTCTGGTTTGGTATGCTTCATCAAAATGAAATTCTGTGATTCAGTTATATTGCCATAACTGCGCCACACTGTCAAAGGTGAGTCATCGTCTTTCATACGCCCCCCTTTCTTTGTCTCTTTGAAAAAAAAAAAACCACAGAACTGTTTCTCAATAGTGGATGTGCTACATATCCTCTATTGAGCGGGAAACCCATTTACACATTTTGGACACAGTCAGTCAAAGTCTTTATGACTTGAAAAGTTTGGGGTATAGGGCTTTAATTGTAGATGGAGTGGTGATGACATTTCCAGATGAAATGGTGGTCTCCAGACCCGGTTCTAACTTCTGGGAGGGCACCTCAGTTTTACTGAAACTGCACTCCAGGAACGGCATCCCAATCTTCTTCACCTGCCCATCCGACGTCATTAGACACGGCCGACAGAGGAGCCTCAGAATGGCCCTCCTCATGTCCTTACTGGTCAGTGTGTAGATGATGGGGTTGAGGAGCGAGTTGATAATGGCTACTCCCAGGAAGTACTCAGCCTTGTAGAGCACAGAGCATCCACGGATGGGGCAGGAAAAATCTATCAGGAGGAGAATGAAAAGGGGCAGCCAACAAGCGATGAAGACTCCCAAGACAATGGTGACTGTCTTGAGGAGAGCAATGTACTTCTCTGACTTCCTGGCTAAGCCCTTCCTTATGCTGCCTGACAAGCCGAGCCGCTGGCGCTGTGTGTTGGTGCGGACGATGCGGAAAACACGCACATAAAGCACCACGATGGCCAAGAGCACAGCGCTGAAAACAGACACACAGCACAGAATGTAGCTTTTGGCATAAAGCGGGAGCACCGTTGAACACTGGTCCAGTCTGCGGATGCAGTTCCATCCCAATATTGGGAGGATTCCCAAAAACCCTGCCACGGCCCAGCTCGCACCAATTAGTGCCAACATGCGTCCCCGCTTTGCCCCATGATACGGCCTCATGGTCACCATAGTGACATGGCGTTCAATCGCAATGGCTAGTAGACTAATTATAGAGGCAGCCAGAGTGATAAAGACCCCTCCCTCCCGGAGGAACCACATCACTGGTGTCAGTTTTAAAGTATTTTTTCCCGATAGGAGGATATTGACCATGTAGGCAATACCAGCCAGCAAGTCTGACAGAGTCAGGTTTCCCAGCAGGTAATACATGGGCAGGTGGAACTTTTTATTCCTCCAAATGGCAAGCAGAACCACAGTGTTCTCCAGGATGATGAGGACACACACCACCAGTAAGGCAATGCTTTCAGGTTTGAGCCTATCACGGTTGCTCAGCTTCTCAGTGTAGTTGTAATGCTTTTCAATGACAGATTTGTCCTGGTATTCACAGAAGAACTGCAGGTAGCATGAACATGAGGGAGTAGTGGAGGTGGGGGGTGAAGCTGAAGTCACTCTACTGGAAGAATTTAAAGCCTCCATGCCTGATGTTGCTTTTCTTCTATTCTGTGTGCACTCAGTAGCTACAAAGTCATCTTTGATGATATGCTTTCAGTAGTAGGAGCGGTGAAGAATTTATCAAATGGATACCCACTCTCACAGAAAATGCCAGAGCCCTTTCAATACATAGAGGGATTACATGCAGCATATACAGTGTAATCCTCCAGGATCCTCAGATGTTTTCTTTGCCCCTTTTTGCCAGCAGAGGGTGGTTTTGAGCTCTGCCTGGTTAGAGAGCTTAGACATGCACTGCAAAAAGACATGAGAATAGAGCATAAAAATGATGGCAAAATGAAATGCAGAATCAGTGAAATTGAAAATAACTGCTTAAAATTGTCACAGTTTTAAATGTACATATTAAAGTGGCTATTTACTGGTTCCATAATCTGACATTTGGCCCAAAAAGATTGAGCGCGTCAAATCTGATGAATCCAAAGAAACCAAAGTGTAGGCTGAACATGTGAAATCTATTGCTGCATTGTCTGACAGATACATGTACAGGCAAGTATGAATGCATATTCAATTTCATTTAACTTAGGCTTGACCTCTTGTTATTCACTAAAACAGATGAGAGAAAGTAACTATTGCTGTTTGTGTGTGCTGGGCTGAATAAGATGCAGAGAGCAGAGGGGTAAATTTAATGTCAGACGGACATTTAGGTTTTGCAGCTGTGTATAAACTAAATGCCAGTTACTCTAAGGTTGTTAGACAAGAACCATCACACTGTTTGATTTGCGTTTGATTTGACACACATGCAGCTCATTTTCATTGTGTACATGACGTGTGTTTGAAGCCAACTTCACATATGCAAATCTACTTTAAACCCTCAAAGTTTAATACAGAAACAGCACGTCTGAAGTTTACGCCATTGGCCAATTCCAATATAAATACACTGATGGATTTAGCCATTAGGCTGGATACAGTCAGGGGTGATTAAGTTTACATTCTTTTCAGTCTCTTTTTGTGTGAAGGATTTTTCCCCCCTTTTTCTTGAGTCATGTGTTAACATTTAACAAATGTTCTGGAGGCTTGAACTCATTTAGCTCACTGGCAAGAATTTGGGAAATGAATGCAACATGAGCATAGTGTCTGTGTGTCGGCTCTCTCCATTGTACAGTCATGATTTACATAATGTAGAAAAGTATGAATGAAGATTATAAAAGCATACCAGGATTTCTGTGTCAAATCATGTCACTATGAGCATTTGTATGCAATAACTAAAGCACTTTTTTTCTTTCAAAGATTTCAAACTTCCTGGAAAAATGTTTTTTCCCCCCTGTATATCACTTAGAGAGAAATATCTATAAATGTTAGTTAAGATATTTTGGCATCCTTGCTTATCCCTGGTATGACAGTGATAAAAAATACAAAATAAAAATAAAAAAGCAAGGTTAAGATGTTACAAATACATTTTTATGCAAATCAGGAAAATATAAAGCCTGTGTTCTAAACTGTATAAACAAGCCTTAACTTCAACTTCAACTAAAACAAAGTGTCTAAAGAAAAAATGGTAATAATATTGTCAAATTTTGAATCAGACATGGGAAACACAAAGAAAGAACGAAAGAAATTACCTGGGAAATGTTGTAGTATTACTTTTATCCTGCACTTCATTTGCTGTTCAGTCATCAGAATCCAGACAAGCACACCAAGTAAGTCACAGTCAAACTGACGAGGCAGAGGGAGTGAAGTGCGACCTTAGCTGAAACATGCATCAGCTTCGGGGGTTGGTCTTAGCCTGAACTGTCTCTCCCCCTTACATTCCCTCTCTCTTCTTCTCTCTTGCTCACTCTTGCACATTTGCACAGATAGTGTGTGCGCGTGAACACATACAGAATACATACAGATGTGTGCCGCTTCAGATGAGCTGGTGCAGAGATCTTTATCACATTTCATTGTATTCTGTGAATCTCAATATACGACATCGGTAGTCGTGATTATAGTTCAAGTTTCATGTTGTGTTAGTGATGAACCAACAAATATAAACGGATGATATCAACTGAATTTTTCTTATTTCATCACAAAGCCTTGCCCTCTCATTAAATATAGAAAACATAATGACAACATAGGAAATGTTTCTGGGTCTCTGATTAAAATCTAAACTGCCCTCATTTCCCTTTAAGTGTTACCGCTATTATTACAGGTGCTGTTAAATAAAGGGAAAAAAATCCAAAACTAGGGAGAACACCAGCTTAACACATACATAATCATAATTAGAATCATTTTTAAGTATTTATGTGTTCCCATGAATAACTGCTATGCTACAACTCTTCAGATACATTTCGTACACTGAAACTTTGCAACTACTTGGAAAAACACTGGAAGAACCAGTTTTGAACACTGCAGCAACAGTCCCACTCTGGGCCAAGTGAAATAAGGACATCGAGCTTTTTTTTCTGTCAAGTTCCACAGAAATTCGATTTAGCTGTCTCATGGTTATCTGTTCTAAAAACTCTACTTTTATAGTGAGGGAAGTGAAAGGAATCTAATTCACATGGTTCAAGCCCACAGTGACATCCCAGTTCTCAGAACCTGATTGTAGCATGCTTTGACACGCTTCAGCAGGTTACCTGTGAAACCTCCCCTGCAGGGCTTGCAGACCGTTTATCAGAGCTAAACAAAGCAGGGGAGAGGTAAGTGTGAAGCAATGCAAGTTAAACAAAACTTTTGTTGGTTTGTTGTGGGTTTCAAAGCTGACACTTGGAGTTGTGCAAATGCACACACTGCTCTGTAGAAGGAGAAACACTGAAAGTGATTGAATGCATGTGAAAAAGCTGTGTAACTCAAATAACTTTCTCTGCCCACAGGTTCTGACAGTTCAGATTCCTGCTCTTTATCCATCTGTTCCTCTGATTCGTTACACCACTGTATTCAAACAGAGGCTACCTTCTACCGAACCTGTTTGGTGTGGCAAATATAACTGGTTTAGCTAAAGGATTTGCAAGCTTCTTTGTGTATATCTGTGTCAGCATGTGGGCAGTGCATAACACAACAATATGTGTTTGTGTACTGATAGCATTAAGGGTTGCCTCACCTGATAAAGGCCGTTAAATGTGACTGCTCACACGCTGACATGCATTAATGAACCAGTGGTCACTCAAATGCAGCCGTTAAAAAAGGGGGCAGCATACTCAGCAGTAGAAACATGACTTTATTCCAGGTATAGCACAAACTTTCTTCTTCACAAAGATGACTGTGAGCTATCTGAGTTACTGCAAAATCAGCAGGTTTCCATTCCTCTGTTCCATCCAGTTAATGTTGATATTATTTCCAGTGTGTTTGCACCTTTTATCTATTTGTAGGGCAAGTAACACACAAAACTTTATCTGGTCTTAATGTTTTTATGCGTTGGTGTATAAGTTACATGCTTTACTCACACTTCCTGCTGTCTGCACCGCTGCATGTAGGGGGGGATTCCTATCAGGAGATCATTAAGGGTAATATCCTATGTGGGTGAAAACACATCAAAGAGAGGTGTGGGTGTAGGACACTTATGCTCATGTCTCATTTCGTTTTGAATGCTGACATACATATTTTTTGAGATCTTTTATTTTATATATGCTGTGGTTTTTAAACAACTGAAACATACACTGCATGCCTCTTCCTCTTGACATGTATTTTTGACATATATGTCTGGCCACACACACACACACACACACACACACACACACACACACACACACACACACACTTTCAGCTAAACCAGGTCTACTTGGGTGTGGATTTAATGTTGACTTATGTGACCACAAGGATCTGTAAAGGAGGTTTATTTCACTGGGCCGCAGCCAACCGGCTGATTTGATTCTATCGAAGGAGTAATGGCTTCTCTAAGCTGTCTGCATGATGTTTCAGCTGTAGTGTTAATATTCTAAAATCCCTGATGTTTTGCAGCCTGTGTGGACAGACATCTCTGTCAAAAGTTAATGAACACTTGGAAAATCGAGGAAACAAGGACCACCTACAGTCTGAGAGCTAGGAAAATGCTGTAACTCTTATGGCACCATAGTACATATTTCACTTTGTAAAGGTGAAATTTGGCCTACACATGAACCTAAGCCCTACTTCTTTGCAGTGCAATAAAACTTTAAAATATCCCAGACGTTATTTCACTGCTTCAGCTTTTGCTTGTCAGGCATTCAGAACGGCTGGGGTTTTGATTACCTAAGAGGAAAAGATATGAGCATGGCATACTGGGCTTTAGAGGACTATCTAAATGGTCTTTGCCTGCCAAGAAGCTAGGGTCTCTCTGAGGCTATCGCACAACTGACCCTCCTGCAATCTATCACCACTCAGGCCTCAGTCCTAATCGACTGATAAGTTTTTCAAATCAGGCAAACCAGATCAGGTCTGTAATCCTAGGAAAACATTCCTCATTAGTTGCTATTGTGCCCCTTTCTCTTTTATGTCCCTGCAATACTGATGTACACAGCAGCACTCTGTCTCTCTTCTTTCCCCATTTCCAGTTCAATATATTTTCCAATACACTTCCATACCCAGTCAAAAGATACCCTCATTGCATGACATAAGACAGTTCAGCTTTCTCATCACTGCATTGTTTATTTGGATTTTCCAGCCAACTTGCTGTGGTTAAGGGGCCAGTGAAGGGTGAGGAAGATCTCTGCTCTTTTGAAGTGGCAGCAGGGCCCAGTTGCTTAAGAAGGAGGGATTTGTTGAGGAATGGGGGAGGCTGTGGGAAAGACAGTGCAAGCGATCTGGTCATCTTCTGACAGCAGCAGTGAGGAACAATGAGTCATCACAATTACGATCCTGTCTTGCAGGAAATGACCACCTAGTGCTCCAATTACAGTGATAACACCAGATAACATCTCAAAGACAAAAAGAAACCAGTGCAGATCCCTGCACGTGTTTGTGAATGCATGCAAGTAAACTTCTGTTTTCAGAAACAGACATCCAAACCAATCTGCAGGTTTTATGCAGCAGTTTCCATCCTCGACTACAGGGGTGGTTCAGGTCACTGAGCGCTCTTTTGGTGATCCATAATTTTTTCTCTCGGCTTGGCTGTGTTTCAGTGCTGAAGTTTTGTTGGGTGAGTGTGGCTGCTTTCTGGTTGCATTCAGTCCAGCACCATCCGACTACAGGCCTAATGAGATCCAGATTTGAGAGCTTTCTGGGTTTAGAGTGAGATACTGACACCCTTTTGGCTCCAAAGGGTTGCAACCATACCACTCAACCATCAAGATGCTTTGTTCATTCCTGCAATGCCAGAGTTAATGTTCAAACTGCGGTTTGTTTCCCGACATGGAAATGTTTCAGCCTTGTGTCAGTTAGACTTTGCATGATCACACTTTCACGCATTCATTCGCCCGTGTCTTATTTGACGAAAATAAAATAAAAGGTTTTGTGATAACTGTCAAACCTTCAGTTAAATTATAAACTTGGCTTATTCACAGTTTTTACTCATATATATTATATAATATTATATATATTATAAATATATATATATATATATATATATTATATATATATATATATATATATATATATATATTTATACATCGATCGATCGATCAATAGATAGATATACATAAAACCTTAAACTTCAGGTGGCAATAATCATAAATTATGATTACAACATGTAATGTAAAAAAAGGTGCTCACCATGACAAAACCAGTCAAGTCATCCACCTCTGCAGTTTGACTAAGCACTGGGAGTGTGTTATCATCAGCTTTTGTTTGGGTTCACTGTCACTCCTCGGATCAGCTCTATTTCCCTTAAGCAGCTGTGGAATAGTTTAGAAATCCCTTTGGACCATCTGCCCTGCATCACAGCAGACATACTAAAGAGCCTGTGTTCTATTTGTTTGCGTAGCTTTCTGGTATTATGTGTATTCAACCAAAGCGGAAACTACCGAGATACATTTGTGTGAAATCTTTTAACAAGCTCAGATTATGATAAGCGATAGAGACCAAAAAGAGGAAGAAAAGTGTAACAAACAAGTTAATACCTAAGATCATTGTACAATGTGATTTTTTTAAATGAAGATAAATAGCCAACATTTTCCAGTTGTTTCAAATATTTTTCACACTGCCTAAGTGGTAGTTACAATACAGCTATGTGTGTAGTTCCCATTAAATGCAACTATGACCTTAATGCTTATTTACTGTATAGTTCAAATGGTAAATGGTAAATGGCCTGTATTTATATAGCGCTTTTCTAGTCCCTAAGGACCCCAAAGCGCTTTACACAACCTGTCATCCACCCATTCACACACACATTCACACACTGGTGATGGCAAGCTACAGTGTAGCCACAGCCACAGCATGAGTCACTTGAACAGCAGTTCAAGTGACTCATGCTGTTTCTGTTATTGATTTGATTTCCATACAGACAATTCAGTAAACACGGAGGCTAGAGGAGGACTATATCAGCTTTGAGAGCTTCTTGGATTCATTGCACACTTATGAAACTGAGGAGCTGCTGGACCTGCTCAAGATGCATGAAGGCATAGTCACAGTAGAGCATTTAGCTGATAAAAAAAATGGAAATTTCCCTTCAGAGTTGGTAGAGACTAAAGCAAAGTTGGAAAGATACTGAATTTTGGATTTACATACACTATGTGATAAAAAATTTAAATACTACAAATGTTCAGTTTCCTGAAAAATGCGCAAATAAAGTACTGCTGTTTGCTAACTATATCAGCCTTTCTGGTCATCATTTAACACCTTGTATTTCACAGAAAGTTTTTAAAGTTCATACTGAATTTGCAAAATGTATCCTGAC